AGCCGCTGGTCGACTGTTTGCTTGGTACTAGTCCATACCACTTGCAGCGGGTGAGTGGGCTAGTGCGTCTAGGTAGACAGTATAAAGAATAGAAGCCGCTGGTCGACTGTTTGCTTGGTACTAGTCCAGACCACTGGCAGCGGGTGAGGGGGCTAGTGCGTCTAGGTAGACAGTATAAATAATTAAAGCCGCTGGTCGACTGTTTGCTTGGTACTAGTCCAGACCACTGGCAGCGGGTGAGGGGGGCTAGTGCGTCTAGGTAGACAGTATAAAGAATAGAAGCCGCTGGTCGACCGATTACTTGGTACTAGTCCAGACCACCGGCAGCGGGTGAGGGGGCTAGTGCCTCTAGGTAATCGGTATAGGAATACCTCCGCTGGTCGCTCGATTGTTTGGTGCAAGCAAACTAGACTCATAAGCAGCGGATGAGGGTTTCGACACGTCTATGCAATCGAGAGGTATAAAAAAAAAAAAAGAAAGATTAAATAATAAATATTCGATTCTAATAGATTACATATTTCAAGTATTAAAAAACATTATATTTTTGATGTTCGATTCAAATTATCACCAACAATCCTATTTGTAAGTACAAAAGTGTTCTGAGAACAAATTATGTGTCAGTTTGGCCGTAACGGATTATTTGAATTATTTTGAATATTTATATAAATAAACTTGGTTATAATTATTACCAACAATTCTGTTTGTAAGAATAAGTGCTTTGAGAACAAATCACATGTCAGTATGGCCGTGACAGATTATTTGAATTATTTTGTATATATATATAATTAAACGTAGTATAAATCATTGTTTTTGTGATGTATAACTGCGGGTAGTTTACAAAATGTTGAAAAGTAATGTTCGTGTTATTCGATGACGTCAGGCTAACACCTGGTCGGTTGTTTGTGAGTTGTATAAAAGGGGGTGCGCTGTAAAGCGTGGAGCAGTGGCTCTGGAGCGATCGTAGGGTAAACGCTGGTGGAACGTTGTTGGAACGTTGTTTGGAACGTTAGAGGTTTCAGAATATGTTTAAAATCGTATATCTGTATTAATACCTATAATGCGAACGTTGGTTGAACATTGGATGGTTCAGGTATGATGTACATTATTATATTGTAATAAATAGGTTGTGAGATATTATGTACTTTTTTATTATATTGAATTGGCATCAATATATGTCAATTAAGTATCGTAACCTTGTGTAATATATAGATAAATATCTTCAAATTAATATATAATTGGGGTACCATTATTTGTTAGATTCCTAGACGTTTTTATATAATAAATGTGTTGCCGTTATTATGGGAAATACGTTGCTGAAGTATAACATCTTGTTTAACGAAATAGAATAGCTTTTGACAGTATATCTTCTTGTTATTTACATGTTATCCTTAAAATCTCATATAAACCAGTGTCTATAATCATATATTAGGTCTTCTTTATAAAAAAATCTAACACATGCATTTTTTTGAGTATCCGAAGAATTAAATATCGAAAATAAATTGGAAAAATTAACGACTCGGCCAGTACTTGCGTATTACAGTTGTAATTGCAGTGCTAGAGGTGCGTGTATCAATAGGTAGAAAAAATTAGACGACGACGTTTAGACACGGAACGCTGATGCCGGTTCAAGTCCTGCCCGAGTCGTAAATTTTTACAATTTATTCTCGACATGTGAAGAATACTAAAGTTTTCAAATATCAGAGTAATTATTCTAGGTCTAAGTATCGTTTGAATCAGCTCGTCGAATAAACCGTAATAAACCAACTTTGGGAGTACAAGCGGAGTTTTCCAATATAGGCTAAGAATTTGTTAAATAAATCGAAGCCCTGATAGAGCTCACGGTTAAACAATGTTAAATATATACTGAACTGTTGATGTTTTAGAAGTGAGCAGAACGCTATTGCTAAGGAACTTTTTGCATTAGCCTCGGATCTGTTTATTTTTGTCGAACTTAATTCTCGACTATATCGCATTAGAACGAGGTTTTCCATTTAATAAAACTTAATTCAGTTTTAAAGGTGAAAATGTAAAATTAACTGTGAAACTTTTGTTTCGTGAATTCAGAGCACTTCGTCGTATGTCAGGTGTCCAATTACTTAGCTCATCATGAATTCACCTACTTAGACTACTGCTTTAAGATTTTATTACAGTTTAAATGTTTCTGGAAATTTACTGTGAGTTACACTTTTTAATTGAGGCTGCTAGAGCCAGAGTGGCCTAATATAAAAAAAACATGATTTTCAATAAGGAGGAAAAAATGCGCAATTAACTTAGGCGACAATGGATTTGTACTATTATTTGTGTGAGAATAATGTTAACAATTCTCGGTCACTATGTTGCTGTAGATTAGCATTTTTAAGTACTAAAATTGTAGTTAGGCTACTCTGGCTCTAATGGCCTTAATTTACTTTAAATCATTACGAAGTTTTTAAGTCAATCTAACCTCTAAAAGGTTGTGATTTTCTTTATCGAATTAATTCGTAAATTCAACATTCGAATTTGAAAATTGGTCACTGAAAAGCGGAAAGTATCCAATGTCACAGCGTAATGGGGTGGCAATATTTTCACATTCAATTTGGCGAAAAACCCGGCAGAGCACTTTGTTTAATGCCGCTGGAGATGTCGCCTGCCTGTGTCCCGCGCACCTGAATATAATTACTCAAACCATTAATGATTCTGTTTATTTATCATAGCTTCTTATTTGAATATTAAATTCATGTCTCTAGAGCCTTCCATCACAGACTTTATCATCTTTCATTTTGAAGGTCTCTTTTGCCCCATGGTGACACAGTATAGCTAAATTTTCGTAACAAATACTGTCTGTAGTTTACGCGAGTAGTACACATTTAAATAAAACACTTAAACGATTTAAAACGCGATTATAGATATTAGTTAAACTTATTTGAATTATTGTAACTGCGGTCCGAGTCTTTCCGTGACCATGGCTGCTGCAAAGCATCCGAAACGTCGGGCCGTAGTTTCAATAATTTTTAATTAAGTTTAAATGATATATATCGCATCTTAAACTGTTTCGTTAAAATAATAAATAACAGACAAATGAGTAGTAAATTGTGTAAGGCTTTCACGGCCATCGTTCAGCATATTGTCTTTCGGGCTGTTCGGCCGATGTGAGCGAGAAGAGGTTCTTGACGTTTCCTCGATTGCTCAAAGAATTATGATATAATAATTCTTCGACCAATTGAGGAGTTAACATCTCCTGATGATGCCGTCCACACGTGATGGCGAAACGTCGAGAACCTCTTCTCGCTCACATCGGCCGAACAGCCCGAAAGACAATGATATGCTAAAATGAGTAGTAGTAATCAAACTGCCGTTCCATCTACAAATTCTTGTCTATAGATCAAAGAATCGTGCAGTGAAACTTTAGCGTTTCGATTTTAGGTATAAGAAATAAGTTCTAGGACGCCATGAAGTCAATTCCATGCTTTTTTTCGTTGGTCAAATAAACGCAACATCAAACTATAGTTACCTGCTGTATTAGAATTTGAAATTATATTATTTAGTATTCTGAAGGATTTTCAATTTTCTGTCGAAAGATTAATAAAATATCTCGGACGGTTAGGGTGATAATGAGTTTCCAGGATAACAGTTTACCGAGATGAGCTTTTTGGGATTCACCGCTTCATTAAGCTTCGCGTTATATTGATGAAATAAATTTTACGCTAGGAATGTATTTTATCGATGTGGTTAACTTGTAATAGGTTATTTTATATTCTGTAATATATTTTACGGTATAATTTACAAAAGAACTATGTAACGTTTTATGTTTATTATGTATAGTTTAAGTAATTAGTAAGCTTAACCCTTGGGGGGGAAAAAACAAAAACCCGGGGGGGGGGGGGGGGGGGGCCCCCCCCCCCCCCCCCCCCGGGAAGCCCCCAAACCGGCGGGGCGGGGGGAAAAAACATTTTCAAAAAAGGTTTGGGAAAAAATCGCGGTTTAAACCCTTAAAGGGGTTTTTTTTAAAGTGTGCTACTCGCGTAAACTATAGACAGTATCTAATTAGTAAGCCCCACTTCTTGCAGATCGTCTAGTTTTATTATTCAGTTTCTTTCGAATCAGGTTCCTTGGAAGAGATCGCTTAGTATAGCGTATATTCTATAATTTTAAATTGTATAGTGTATCCGTATGTTCTGCTTTGGTACCTAAGTGTGAAATAAATAAATAACGATTTCAGTATAATAATTTAGCCATTTAAAAACAGATAAGTAAAAAAATTATAATTACGAATTCAACTGAATTGCTAATGAATTTTTAACTCAGTAATAATACAAACAGAACAACCCTTTTTACTTACATTTCAGAAAATATTGTTACCGCATTTCCCCAATAAACATACAATTTATATTTACGAATTAATTTTAACAATAAAACTTTCAACCAGTTGCAATCAGAACATTACACAATTAAAACTGAAAAGCCTCAGGGGGTTTTGTGAACAAGCCAAATTGAGAAAAAAACACACAATTAATTCACTGATATTTCGTCCCTAGCGTATAATTGGGCCAAACAATAAAATGTGGTAAGACTGCGGTCTCTTAACAAAGCAACAAACTGTGTGACTCGGTTACAGGCTGGATAGCGAGATCGGCGGTGCGTAGTTTTTTTTTCATTTGACACCGTTTGTAGCTTTACCAGTACATACGCATTTGTTTAACTAGTACAACAGAGGGCCAAAGAATCAATAGGTTAAGAAAATTCGACAGTGACGTGTAGAACATGATAGCTCAATTAGTTAAAGCAACAGCACGGCTCTATGTGAATGCCGGCTCAAATCCTGCCCGTGTGTTAATTTTTTTCAATCTAAAATCGATTTTTTATTTATGTAGTACTACGTAATGTTTGGACGCCATGTATTGTTGCATAAATAACACTATAAAAGACAATAACAATTTTACAATAGTAAGTGGTGTAAGACGTGACGAGATTTTTATCGCGCCTATAGCAGACCGAAGCCTAATAGGTAACGCTGAGCAGTTTTAATCACGGCACATTTTCGGGAAATTAATAAGAGCGTTAATTTTCTCTTGAACGAGATCCTTATACTGTATAGGATGTGGCGCCCTCTCGCGGCACTCGATGCTGTAATAATTAAGAAATTGTTTAATTAAACTTGAGCTATGTTCCAGTCTTTAATATAATTGTACATAACGTGATTTAGAAGGCACTGTTTTTTATTAAGTTTATTTTTTCATCGTAAATGTGGTCAAAGTAGCATGGGGTTCGCTTTATGATAGGAAATACAACAGCTATATAACTTTTACACAAGGAGTCGACATATTTTGACTTCGGATGTTCGGAAGTTCAGACCGAAAGCGAAACAGCAATTTACGGCTTTATCATATTTGCACGATAGTTCGTGATCCGGACGGAATTTTGATATTCCTACATATCTAACATGTTTTAGAAAAATTATAGATTGATTAGAAAAATGTTGGACCCCGTGTTAGCCTTATATTGCTATCATTACACCAAAGAGCCCGTCAAGTGATATTTTTGTAAGCGTTTTATTCGGGTTAATTTTTTTTTAAGCTCAAGCGATTAAACTAGACAGTTTGTTCTTGTGAAGGCAGTGGTTCGTAACCCGGATGTAATTTCGATATTCCAACAATCAGAACTTTCAACTTTTTGTTTTAGAAAAATTATAAATTGTTTAGCAAATGTCAGGGATCGAACCATGACCCGTTGATAATTTGCCTTGTGTTTTTGATGTTGTAAACGTTTTATTCACGTTAATTTTATTTTTAAGCGTCACACGTCGTAAATGAGCGCGTCGTAAAAAAACAAAGTGCTCTAACCAAAAGCTCATCTAGCGAAATTGCCATCCGCTCGCTCATTACCGATTGAGCCAACCACGGGGCCCGACATCCCGGCACGTGACTCGGGGAAATTGAAATCTCTATCGGTTAATCGAAATATTCAAAGAACGTTTCAAAATTGCATTTTAATTACATTGTAATTAACGGAAATGCTAAAGGTTCTAATGAAAATATCAAATAGCTAGGGATGCTCCGCGGTATTATTGGTACTTGTTCTTACTAGGTGAAAAATTTTGATTAAATAATCAACTTCAACAACAACTACAACTTCGTATATGTATCAATAAGTCGAAAAAAATTGACGATGAAGATAATATATTTAAAAAACTATTTTATGTAATATGACATTGTATATAATCTAAAAATATGTTAAAATTTTTAATGTAAGTCACTATCATTTTACAATTATTATTCAGCAAAGATGTGTGATGGGTTTTTAATAAATAAAAAATATATTTCCCAATTTATTTTATCTAAGGCCCAACGATTCGTATCCTTTGTCGTAGCAGTCGTGGCCACGGGTAACTTTCCGAATCGAAATTAGTTTAACAAAGATATATCGCGTTTTAAACCGATATATTATTATTTATCATTGTATATATACTTTAACAGTTTAATATGTGATATAAATTTGATATTAGCGATTAGATTAGATATATATATCGCATTAAAAAATGCAAACAATTTTGCATACTTAATAAGACAGTATTGAAGTAAAACATATTTAATAAGACAAAAGATGAAATAGATCATTTTAATGACAACATCTTTTTCTTGAAGGGTGAAGTATTGGTTGCTTTTAAATAAGTTATTATTATTAGAAGGCGCGAAAACTCCGAAGGTACCTTATTATGGGCCAGCACGATTTGCTACTTGAACACGTTTACCAGCCACAATCTCTTAAGATCCTTTATTGCCTTAATTTTTTCCCTTGTTTATGTATAGACAGTTCTAAGCAACTCATTACTGTGCTGTTTATAAATAAAATTAGGGAATAATACATATTCGTATATTCGTAAAACCTTTTGTATCATCCATATTTGTATTTGTTAGCGCCAAAAGCGTTTAAAAATAAAATTTGAAAGCATATTACTGACTGACTTGACTTTAAAACTTAACAGTTTAAATCGCGATAATTTGCGTAGTTAAAATAAATTATTATTAAATTAATTAATATATTTCGCATTTAATAACTTTAAAGGTGTTTTATTTCAATGTGTGCTATTCGCGTAACGTACAGACAATATTAAAAACTTTATTTTAGAATGAAAAAATTTATAACACTTGTAGGATTCGAACGCACAATCAATCATTACGCGCTGTTTGTTAACCAACGTGTTTTAAATGCAATAATTGATTTTTCTTCGAACCTTTATATTTTTTTAACGCTTATAAAAGCTTCATAAAACATACCTTATTCAGATCGGTTTGATCAAAGAGTTTACTTCCATTGGCTTGATATTCGGGTGAATTTCAGTCTATCTACTATCAAAACAATATTCTCTGAGTGGTACTGGAGCTGTTTCGAAATGATTTATTCAATGTTAACCGTTCATAACGTATCCCCAGCTAGCGAATCAAAATATTGTCCTGTGAAGCAGTCACGTGTGTGAAGTGAAACGATTATAAATTACTAACGAAGTCGAGCACGGTTTTCCTGCCTGCATGACAGAAAGGTGTAAATGGAGGCAAATTCATCAATTTATATGCGAAACAGGCTGCCTTTGAGATAGCTTTGATGTTAGGAACTCACAAAATTCTATTAGTTTTCTCGCTGCATTTCGGAGTATCTAAAGATTTGTAACGATAAAAGATATACGTCTGCTGCATTATGCAAATTGAATTGACAAATTGGGTGATGTTTAAAAATGGAATCTATATTTGGGACCTCTCTTTGACGTGAAAACTCCGGATATATCTACGTATTTAGACTGTCTGACAAAAATCGTCTTCTATACGTAATGTAACTTTGTAAGTGGTATATTGTCATAAAAAAATTAATAGAACGTTTTTATATTAATAATAAAGACTTATTACGTGGTGAACGTTGAGGTTCATTAAAATCTCTTTTCACTTTGCTTGGGTTTAATTATCCGTTTTCTTTGTTTATAGGAGTTCGGCCTCTTAACACTGGTGGATAGTTTTTTGTGTTTTAACTCTTAATTCTAATGGACTTGGACCAATGAGAGCTAAATAGGAATGTCTTACATGCCTCAAGTTCCTGTAGGTGTAAAAAGTGAAATTCCGTCTTCCCTTTGGGGATATTTTTTATTTTATAAGCAAGCAGTTGATTATATTGAATATATATAGACTTATATGCCCTGGCCCAAACGAAACAATCTATTGTTCCTGGAATTCGAACACAGTACCTCTCGTGAGCAGTGCTTACAGAGGCAATCTAAGTAATGTTTTATTGTTGATTTTTTTGTACCTCATCAATTACTATCAGTCCATCGATAGCTTCCACTGCTGGGACTGAGGGTTTTAAAGAAAGTATGTCTTTATTTATCCCTGTTTTCTAGTATTTCCCATGTTACCAGCTTAATTACACGTTTATCATATTGATCGTTTATACCTCTTTTAAATACTTGTCTAGCAGTTTGTTAATACTATATATAGAGTATTTTGTTTATACTATTAGCTAAAGCTCAGTTAGTTGTCTAACTTCGGTAAGTGGAAAAACTTAAATAGACTTGGTTCTATTAACCTCAACACGAGATATCACTTAGTTTAGCCTCTTTTTGCCAAGTTAGACGTACGCAAGTGCGACTAAGTTGCTTATCGAACTTTGCTAACTTATCGTTAATTTGTTTGCGTAATTTTAAAGTTTTAACAAAAATGTATATAATTATTTTTTTTTCTTAAGGTTTTGATTCTTGACTCTTTTTTAAAATGCTAAAACTATATGGTACAATTATGTTATGTGTCGGTCAAAGCCATAAATAAGCATAACTAAGCCTTGTAAGTGACTTGATTTATATAAATCTTCAAGTAATACAAGTATTTAATGACGCCACAGATAATCCTATTTCTTTAAATAAAAAAGATTTTAAAAAGAGAAATATGTTAGTTAACTTATTTCTAAAATTATATATCGTCCCAATATAACTTTACTCTTATATTTCGTTTTAAACCGTTAAAAGTGTTTTTATTTAAATGTGTACTAATCGCGTAAATAATATTAAAAAAAACTAGAGACAATACCTATTAGTTTTTTTTTATATAATAGCTAATAACGGGAAACAGATCTTACTTTAATAAAGTATTATAAAGCTTATTCCACTTACCACCGCATATATACATCGATAACCTAAACGTGGATTTCTTAAACTGAGGAGTGTATTAATTAACAAACAGGCAGACAATATAGAACATGTAACACATAAGATAACATAGTTAATACATATTATATTCGTGTTTAGAGAAGCGTACTGACTTACAAAGCTTTGTTATAGCATTCTATTGTTCCCTCTCCAAATCCGTCATACATACCAAATATTGAGGTGTCGTCTAGCCCAATGACTTCCTCTATCAATCTCATTCCTGTTTCGTTCCCGGATATCATTGACATCTGATGCGTTTGAAAGTTACAATTTCAGTTCAAACATACAACTAGTAGAATTAAGTTACGGTCTTTAAAAATAGATGGAAAAAAAATCATATATTTGCTTTTTAATAATTCTCTTGGCTACGAAAGTAGGCAACGTAATCGATATAGTGATATTTTCAAATATAATATTCGATTCATTTGAATAGATTTTTTAGAAATAATCAAAAATATAAATAATTTCGTATTACATTTTTAAAATGGCCTTTGTAGCCATTTGGCTAAAACTGTTAAACGTATTGCGGTTCGAATCCCAGGGAAACATAAAATTGTTTCGGTCGGGCAGGGCACAGAAGTCTGAACAACTACTTGCCTGTTAAAAAACGAATCAGTGAAACGGACACAAAAATGTGTTCGCCCCATGCCCTACGAGGGGGAAACGGGATTTCACATTTTTTTAAATGGTATATTTTCTAAGGCTTTTACAATTGCATATTTTTTAAATAGTGGAAGGAAAGGATGACAAGAGAGAATATTTGAGCGACACTTGTTTGATAGTATTTAGATTTTGTCTTTGTTATGCTTGCTAATTTCACAATGGTTAATGTTGTCCATTATTCGTCGGCCATCAACAAAATACAATGAACATTTTTGAGTCTAAACTTTCGTCTGTAAACAAGGAAGCAATCTTTAATGAGTTTTGTTCCTTAATTATATTGACGTCACTTGTCCAAATTAATGGGCTTCAAGTGAAAAGTTTAGCTGAAGAACTCTTAACGAGTTTGTGCGCTATCGTTAGACGTTTGAATTAAGAAAAGTAGTGGCAAGTATAACAGAGATGAAGATTCATAGCTTGAGAATCGAACGTATGTGAAAAACATACTTGCGTAAAAGATGTCTGTTGCGAGGGATGTGAGGCAGACACAATTTTGTATCCGTTATGTAGATACTAGGTAAGAAAATGAGACAGTGAGGGAAATATGGCCAGAAAATAAGTATCCTGGTAAAGGAAAAAAAGAGAAGTGATGAGAAAGATAACATATGAGATATGAGATGGCCCAAGTGATATGGAGCGCAGTAACTCAGAAAAGGCTTCTGTCGACCCGAAACCCTGTGGTGGCTGAATATCCCGAAGTTGGCGCGGTGGAAGCCAGACTTCCACCGGGCGCGTACCCAGGTTCCAGATAGGAGAATGTGATCGTCATTGACTAAATCTGGTGCCTTCCAAAGGCGGCTGTAAAACGGCCAGAAAGGTAGCGTTCTGTCTTAGGACCCAGTGGTCCTTCAGGTGGTATGTCTCAAGATGGCAAAATGAAGGCTTCTGATTGGTTCGACTGTCGCGGGGCAAATTAATCTCGATTAACTTAAAAACCAAATGTCGTATGTATAATCTTGCATAACCGACCCTTTTTATTATGTTTCGACAATTCCTTCGCGTTTAACCACTGAGCCACGGCGACGGTCGATGAGTGATGAACATAAGCGTTTTAGAGATAATAGCCGGCCGCGTGTTACGCAAGATGTCTGTCGGAACAATTTGTAAGGGCCGCTTCTTTGTAAACGTCCCGCTTTGTGATTCTCGTGAACATAGCGTGAACATTTTGACAAGTGGAATTTGTTTTGTAAGAGGGTGGAATACACCTCATGAATATTATTTCCCACTGCCGAAATTATGCTCGTCTATAAATAGCCCGCTTCAGATGTTCGCGTAAAAGTGGATAACAAGAGAATGTTATTGTATAGCTTAATTAACTGGGTTATTTAGAGATTACTTTATGTAACATAAAGCCGTGTTTTAGTTTAATTATTTCCTGTTTTCCGCATAATTATTACTTTTGATGCTCGTAACAGCGTATAAAAGTTTCAATACAAGACTTTAACGGTTTCCTCGTGACTACGGCTGCTGCAAATCATCAGAAACGTCGGGCCGTAGTTCAAATAATTTTCCAATAAGTTCAACCAATATAATGCGTTATAAACCGTTACAATGTGTAGTACTCGCGTAAACTACAGACAATGTTTGGTTTTATGATTTATAAAATATATTCCTATTTAATTCGTTCACGGATTGCAAGATCGAGTCCTGTTCATAGCATATATTTTTATTTAAATTCGATTCTTGTTTTCTTATAGTAATTTTCCGCTATTATTATCACGAATAAACAAGAACTTAGAGATTATAGTCGTAGAAAAAATAACACCAGTGCAAACACGCGCTTAGCGTTCTAAAACAATAGTCGCGTAGAGATGACAAGTGATACACGCATTTTTCCGACGTTTAATTTCCTCCTGTAAAGTTTTAATTCGAGACATAAAGCGCGCTTAAAAGCGACGTCTGGCAAGTTTCATCATCGCACAGATGCGTCGGTAGGAAGCTTACTTTGCACACAAAGCCTACAAGTACAAAAGGCACGGCTCCGCTCCATTTTGTGCCTGACAAGCTGAAGCCGAGGAATGAGCCCGTCAACTCCCTAAAATGCTTTAATTTTTTCAAGGTAGCGCGGAACAACTTTGCGATTAAGTTTCTAAAACATTTTTCTTGGTTATGCTCGTATTAAGCCGCGAAATCAGGATTTATTAGCAATTCGTATTTTTATTATCTACTAAAAGTGATTTTTACTTCGCAATTTATTTAATGGCTTCATTATTAGATATTCATATATCACTTAAAATACTCATTATTTTTTAGGTACGTTTTAGGTAAGCTTAGTTACGCTAATGTAATAGCTTATTTGTGGTTAGTTTTGAGCCGTTAACTAAAGTAATTGACCTTTATGTTTTAAAGATGGATCTACTTAGTAAAATTTTTCAAGCGACAGTGCCATCCAAATTTTAATAGTTAACTATAAAATAACAGACTGGTGAAGCAACGATACATACGCAATAACAAAAAGTATTAGAATATAATAATCTTTTAAATTCAAAGATTTATATTGAAACTAGGTGTGCCCGCGACTTCGTCCGCGTGGATTAGTGACTTGGGGTAGAATTTTTAATTATTTAGGCTATTTATTAATTTATGTAAAGGCGCATTTAAGGCAAGCCAATCTATGCTACTTTGCCGCAACACTCTCACCTCACATCAGTCCTACTCTAACTCCCACTCTCATTCCTACACTCACTCTCACTCCCATTCCCAATTTCACCCCATCCCACCCCTATTCCCACTTTCACTCCTATTCCCAAAACGCCAAAGAAGAAAGTTTCATTGTTTTAGCTTCAAAAACCACGAATTTCCATACAAATTTTCAACCCCTATCAACCCTTTTTTGGCATTAAAAAGTAGTCTATGTCCTTTCTCAGGCTCTAAAATATCTGTGTACTAGTTTCGGAGTTAAAGACGGACAGACAGACAGAGTTACTTTCGCGTTTATTATATTAGTATAGATATATCTTATATAGTAGAAGTGAACATTTAAACAGTATTTTAATAAAAAGTAAATATTTATTCTCAATATATTTAGTCTAACAAATTGAATAAATGTATAAACATTAAACCGATTACTTAACAAATCTATCATTTACATAGATTTATACCACTGAAACTTAAGACAAAATTAGTTCCATATTATGCATAAGACAATATTGTAGCAAGAATGCTCATACTCTGATAATATGACAGAAGATGTGACGTCGAGGTGATCCCGTAAGTGCTTGGTGTCGTCGAAGACAGGAACATAAATTTAATTTATGTTTAAACGTACTAAAATATGAACTTGGATCATGTCTGACGGCGTCATTACACGACCGAGGCTAGATATATCGCACTGACATTAACGAATTAAAACTATTTTAGTTCTTGATATAGCTTTCGAGTTACGTATAAGTGACTTGTAAATAGGTAAACAGGTACTTCATTTTAAAATCCTTATCCTTACTAATCATGACAAATGCAAAAGTAACTCTGTCTGTCTGTTACTCTTTCACGCCAAAACTACTGAACGGATTTTAATGAAATTTGGTATACAGATAGATGGTCTAGACCCTGAGAAAGGACATAGGGACTAGCCTTTTATTGCGAAAAGGTGGTTGTAAGGGGTTAAAAGGGGGATGAAAGTTTGTATGGAAATTCGTGGATTTTGAAGCTGGAACAATTTAACTTACTTCTTTGGCTTTTTTGGAGTAGGAGTAGGGGTGGGCGTGGGAGTGGGAGTGATCTGAGGTGAGAGTCTTGCGGCAAAGTAGCACTTACCATAGATTGGCTGGCTTAAATGCGCCCTTACATAAATTAATAAACAGCCTCAATAATTAAAAATTCTACCCCAATCCACTATACCACATGGACGAAGTCGCGGGCACAGCTAGTAATCAATAAACTATCTAAATAAGTATTTTTTATTGTATTATGTATCTAAACGTCAAACAATTCAGAAAAATGTAAATTTGAAAAGATAACCACATGAATCATGTTTCTTTTCTCTGGCTCTCATGAACTTAATGATTATGCTTTAATTAAAACATTTTTAATGGTACAAACAATAGCTCATGTATTGATAATATTAAAATAATTTGAGACGTCACACCTTACCCCACTCCACCTCTGGCAGCGTCGAGCTACAGAAATAGTTTTAGAAATTCATAGTCTATTATTGTAACGTGTACATTTTCGTATTTAGAGCGCCGCGCTTTTGTGATTGAAATTTTGCACCTATGTCGCTAATGGACTGTTTCCAACTACACTGATATATTATTCAAAGAGATTTTAACGTTGTGGAAAGCCATTTTATTTAGTTACGTTAAAAATTTCGTTGGCTTCTTGCATGGGTTGTTCTTGTTCTTGGTGGGCATAATGGACAGGAAGTTGAATTTATTCTATGTAAGGTATGGTATCGTCCCTTTAGATAATATAGACTTAGAAAACGTTAATATTTTTTACATTGCATATGATGTCATTATGTAAATTAAACATGATATAAACCGTGACCACGGCTGCTGCAAAGCATCCGAAACGTCGGGGCGAAGTTAAAAATCATTTTCAATTAAGTTTAACTAAT